AGTTTGCAACATTGAAAGCATCCTTTCCCAACTGGATAAAGCCGATAAAACTTCCAAAAAGGTTATTGAATCTGCCTGAAATAAAATTAAAGCAATAACTAGGATGGACAACTACTAGTATCTGCCTGGAACACCTGAAAAAGCTCTTAATTTATAGCCAACCAGCTGCCATCTTTCGTATGTATAAACAATCCGGCGCATAGATACTGCTTTTACGGTGAACTGGTGCAGTACTGATCGAATTTTTGAGCTATCAAACAACAGGAGTGGCCCGAAATGGTTAATAAAAGAGAGCAGTGCTGTTTGGAAGAACTGGTTGTATCGAACAGTGAAGAGAGAAGGCAATTAAATGAAAAGAAATCAAAGCCTTCCTGGCTGTTCAGTTGAATTTTTTATATTCTTTCATCACTTAGAAATTTTTATTTTTTTTATATTCTTTTTCATTAAATTTTTTATATTCTTTCATGTTTTACGCCATATATGGGCAATTGGCGGTCCGCAAAAAAAAAAAATATGCCCGCCTGTTGCCAAAGGTTGCCCATAGCTGTTTTACGCTCCCGCATCGCAAAACTGGAAGGTCAATATTGTGTGATTACCGAAGTAAAACTACACCTTAACCTACACTACTGAAAAGTAGCTCAGCATGTAAGTGATCTGCAACATCGGTCCTCACTCCAAAAATACGGGGTAAAGCCAATACCATTTAGAAAAATAAACATTTCTTTTTTTCAGAAATGTAAAAAATCGTTGGAATTTGCAACTTTTGCAGTATCTTCGATGCCTAATAGCAAGAGTTTCTCGTAAAAAACGAGTTCCAGCGCGGCCTTTACGTAACATTCCTTGCGTCCAAATTAGCGCTGTTTTCGCTAAATTTTTGTGATTTTTGCGCCTTGCCACAGAGATAAGTCAGAACAATTACCAGCACCAAATTTTTAAAATTTGGTCCTATCAAGGAAATTAAAAAATACCTGAGTGTAGAAACTGACCACTTTCGCCAAGTAGCGATCCAATACTTCCGATAAACCAGTATCAAAGGCCTGAAATAAGAAGTTTTCAAAAACAATGCACACAGAATTGCGGTGAATTTTTTCAAAAAAACTGGTTGTTGGAGCCTGGTCCGTTATGCAGCATAATCCAGCAATTTGAAAGCTAAATCCCTGACCACTCGCTGAGTGGGCCTACAAACAGTGGCAATATTTGAGGGGTGCATCCGTTAGCAGGAAAATCAATTTCCTCTGGAACTATTTCATCGCAAAGCGGTCTAACAAACGTGCCATTAGTTTGTTTCTGAAAGGTACCCAAAGGCGACTTTGTATTTGGAGTTATCGATGGTTCTTTTTTTTTTCATTTTTCATCTTGGAGTTACCGATCATTTTGAATTTTTCGAATTTCAACAGTTTTTCTCAGAAAGTGAAAAGGCGAATTTTAATTGTTTTAATAATTTTAAGTTCTCGAACATGTACTTAGCCCTAAAACCTGTCAATTTCCAGCTTATTTTGAATCATTACTTATGACCTCGAACTCAAATTCATACCAAATTAAAAATCAAAGTAATGTAAAATAACAGAGCGCTTCTTCAACTTCGCTTTCTTAAGATTATATAATTTATATCAACAATAAGATAACTAACTGAAATCATGATTTGATTGTATCAAAACGAATAACCCACCCGAATAAGCATATCCGATTTCGGTTTTTTACATTCGTACTGAAGAAACAAGTAGGCATTTGCGATTGTTAGCAGCTGTAGCAAGCATGATCTGTAGATATTGTCCAGATGAAATGCATTGCTCAAGCATAGCTTCCGGTGCTCACAGTTGGACTGATGCACAAAGTAATGACCTTCGGAACCTTGCAATGCTAACAGCACATTCCTGAGTAGCTCTTCGTCACTGACAACTGCAAATTACTTATATATTTTTATTTTTCCAAAAAAAGAAAAACCGACATTATCTCCACGAACGCGTGGCATTTTCTCATGACCGTTTTCACAATATCTTTTATTATGCAGAAAATGAATGACATATCATTTTTCTTCCGCTCCTAAACTCAATATAAAACGCCCCCGTAGGTATGGCGGAGCGCTGTTGTTGTGCAGTAGATTCAATCCGCTGGTAGGATAACCAATCCTTCTACGATTCATTCATTGGTTTCCATGATAAATTGGAACATCTGATATCTGTCAGAAAGTCAAACCCGCTATCAGCTTGCAATCTCAGAAGAGGAAGCCATCGACAGCCTTGCCAGCGACTGGTTGCAATTGGCAATTGCTACCACTCGGAGTGCTATCTACAGTTCCCCCAGTCCCTCAGTTCCCCCAGCCCCTCAGTGACAGCGAATAAGGAAAGGGGTTTCTGAGTTTATCACGAGACGCAAGATAGGATTGCGAGCAGCAGGCTAACCATCAGGCGATGTAGCATTGTACTAAATACATAGCTGGGGATCAGACTATGTCTTACAATCAAATCAAGCATTTGAAATACTAAATTTTGAGAAATTCCAAATAACAAATTTGTGCAAAATTAACTAAAATTCAATGAAAAAGGTGCTGACACAGGAACTTTAAGTCCTCTTTCCAATCTGATAGAAGCAAAAGAAATGCGTTAAAAAAAATTTACCACACTCTTCAGCTACGCGACCGATAAATCGTACCGGAGTCGATGGAGAATATAACGAGAGAGATCTGCAAACAATTTAACACCCTCAAAAATTATTACGAAACACCTACAGCGAGATTAAATAATCTTGGGAGCAAAATATTACGAAAAATTCATGCTAAAAATTCAGGAGAACGCCGTTAGGAATGCTTCACACTGAGCAAATTTAATGACGACGGCTCCATACCAACAGCCCGAGCAATCTTGGTGAACTTCACACAATCCGGCAATTAATTCCGGATTTCCGACTGTTACTGTATATTCATCCATTTGGTTATTAGAGTTTTTATCAGTATTGCGCAGCTGCATAAATTACATCTAGCAATAATCGCCCGTCTGGGGGTGCATAATATGCACAGAAAGGCATAAACATACATAGGGCAGTATTAGTTGAGAAACTGTTAGTGATTTGCTGTTGCTAGTAATATAGCCAAACGCAGTTAGCGTCAAAACCCCTTCAAATTTATTCTTTATGAAAGGCGGAAGCACTTGGAAAAAACCCGAGCTGGTAGCAAGCATCAACAAAAGATACCTCTGGCAATGCTCCCTCTTTCGAGAATTGCTTAGGAGCAAGCGATTCGTTCAATCGCTCCAGTGATAAAATGGTACTGGTATGTGACAGCAAGTCAAATCCTCAAATCCTGCATCGGCTTACTTCTAAGCAACTCTCGAAAGAGGGAGCCAACAACGATTTTGCCAGCTGATGGCTATTGTTGGCACATTCGGTCTACTTCCAACTACCTCTTCCTGCCAAATGAAATGAATTACAGTAGTTTTAATTATATTAATTTAAAATAAATCTATTAATTTACAAATTTTGTAATTCTCATCTCTTACCTTTCTTTTTGTTCTCTTTTCATTCGCTGCTAATATGCTTTCTTATTAAGGTATGGCAAATAAAAAAAAATAGGGGAAAATAAAAACAGTTATTAATTTACAAATTTTGTAATTCTCATCTCTTACCTTTT